GTTTATCCTGGAGTAGCTTCTTTCCTCCAGGGTTTTAAAAATTCAACTGAGCTAGTTTTGCCTTTTTTAGCACCATTGGTGCATTTCCCTGACATTTTCAACCTGATGGATCTATATAAATATGTTCTAGCCTGAAAACGCCTCATGAGTCCATAAAAGTGGCACAGATGAACAGCCTGCTGAGTGGTGTTGAACCCTTAAGGTGGGTATTTGATCCTCTTATGTTTTTCATCTACTTGCCCTTGCTTTCTGGCCTTTTTTATTCCAACCTCTGCTTTATTTCATTTGTTTTATTTTCACAGTAAAAAAAATGCTATATGTTTTGCAAAAAAAATGTAATGAAGAAAAGGCTTGATAAAAGCCTGCAATATGAAACCAATGTTAATAATAAGGAAATTAAGGAAAAGTGGGAATTGGAGGCTAATATAATAAAAGCAAATGAAGATTTGGAAGAAACATTTAGCTAACAGCCTGATGTGGAGAGAATTTGACCGGAAAGTTAAGATACGTTAGTTTAACCCTCCAGTTATCACATCTTAATATGGTAAAACATCTGCTTTATTGGAGAAATTGTGGAAAGGTGGGGGATTTTACGCACATATTTTGGGCTTGCCAGAGTGTGGCTGCATTTAGGAAAAAACGTACAAACAGAGATAAAGGGTATTTTAGGCCTTGACTTAGATCTGGATGTATCTGTGTATATTTTAGGAATAATCCCCTTGAACATGATTGACGAAGATAATAAATATTTGATCGGAGTCATGCTTCTGACTGCAAAGAATTGTATAACACATGTCTGATCAATCTGACCTCCAGGGACCTCAATGCCAGAAGTCTTTACTCCCTTAAACCTTCTAAACGGGCTATTGAGGCTGGAAGACTGCTTCCTTCCAGGTGGTACCTGACCCTTCTGACAATGGCTGTCCTCGGAAAAAATCAGTCATGGGAGAATCCTGCCGAGAACGCCAAATTGTAGTGGGAAAAAGCTACTCAACTATTCATCCTAGGAGATAAACGGAGATCAAGGGATTTCACTCAGTGGGCACTTTATTCTCATATCTTTGCAAAGAGAGAACAGTTCATCATTCAGCCTTTACTGCTCTGTATTCAGCCCTGTTCTGCCTGGACAGAGTGTGTTCCCCTTACTTACAACAATGGAAAGTAGTCAGAGTCAAAACAAACTACAGACAGTTTGGTTAAACAGTAACATGTTAGGAATAATTGAGAAAAATCTGTCTTCTTTTGGGAAGAAGACAGACAGGTCTACAAACACCATCCTGCAGAGAATGGTGAAACAGACTGAGTGAAAACTTTTATAGTGAGAAAATAGGATAAAATAATATAAGAAAGAAGAGAAATCTACATTTTCTGACCAAAACCACAACGTCCCAGCATTACCCAGTGCAGAGATTAGAATTAGGAAAGTCTATATTATGGATAAAGGGACATGAAGACTACAACTCAAGATGGAGACCTTTCAAACAAAGTGGAGACCTGTGACTACATTCATGCTGTGATCTTGACACCTCTGTTTATTTATTCATTTACTAATTTATTTATTTGGATGTTCATAATGTCTACGGCTGTCCCTTTCACTGCAGGTATTGTGATTTATATATTGATTTATTGGAAGGGGTCAATGAATGTTTTAGCCCCCAATAATCCCTGGATAACCTGTGGCAGAGCTGGGACCT